TGAGAGCCGAAAAATGAAGTTCTCAGAAGACAAGTAACTCTGGTCTTTTCATACTGTAGGCTTAATTCACAGTGCCACAGTAAGGACTGTGAACCTGGAGAAATCCTGTGTTTCGGTGGAATGGACAGAAGGAAGTACCACAAAAGGCAAAGAGGTAGGTTCTATGTGGTAGGTTCTTCTACCACATTTAATACCTTTATATGCAAAGGATCAGTGTGGAAATGGGACCCGTGAGACCCTAGTTTCTGGTGTTGTGCTATCCTCCTCACTCTTTTAAAAAAAAAAAAAAAATCCCTCTTGGGATGCATTGGGATTTAAAAAGGTGTTCTAGTACTGGGTATCAAACCCAGGGATGTATGCATGCCAGGTAAGCATTATACCACTGAGCTACATCCTCAGCCTTTTTATTTTGAGACAGGGTCTCACTCAATTGCCTGGACTGGCCAGCATGCACCACTGTGCCCATCAAATTGGAATTTTATTTAGTCAAACACGTTCTCAATTGAAGAAATCCACAGCATGGGTTGTGTTTGTAGAAATCAAACTATAGCTAATCCCAAACCTTGCTAACTAACCTAAGCCAGGTTCTGAGTACACACTACCTATAGTATTGGTTTGGGTGCAAAACCAGCTTAAAGAAACAAAAGTATGTTTCTGAAATGTTAACTAACAAGGCAACTTTAATGCCTAGCACAGGCTGGTAGTGCTGGAGCAGCTTAGGTAGAGACTCTTGAGGATGGGCTGGCTTGAGTGGAGCATGAGACTTAGCTAAAATAGCCAGGCAGCACACATAGGGTTTAGGGAAAAGTTGGTCACAGACAGTGTAGGGCTAAGGGATGCTTTGGTAGCAGCAAAAAATGCTAGAGAGACTGGAGGGTCTTTATCTTTGGGACCTAAGATGTTTAGGTATTCTTCTGCAGGCAGCAAGAAGCCTTGAAATGATTTTGAGAAGAGAGATATACCTTGGGCATTTATGCTCTAGAGGCATTTGGTGCTGTAAAAAGCTCACTGGACTGTGAATATAAAAAACCTGGATTCTAATCTGCCTCTGCCTCTGCTTTGTGTATTCTCAGGCATATTTCTGTCTTTCTTTTGTTTTTTTAAAGAGAGAGTGAGAGAGGAGAGAGAG